TGAGGCTTGAATGTTTATTATCTGTCCATGCTTTGTACAGAACCATCCCACACTGTAATATTGCTTGACAAGAAAAATTGTTGTTTTCACGTAAATAAATATAGCGTTCTTGTTGCTATCATTTTTTTTGGGAGGGTGGTGCAAACAGACAGCAAATGGTACTTCATAGCCAACAATCAAGTTCACAGTTTAAAGATTCTAAAGGAAATAGTTATTTTTATTAGCAGATTTAACCACCCTAAATATATATCTATAAAAAAAAAAAATCAATGCTCACCTCAAGCCTACAGCAGTCTTCTGCAGTAGTATGAATAAATCACTGTGTATATGTATATTGTCTTAAAAATGAAATAAGTGCCAGAGGCTGTTTCAGGGAGTGGTGGGTCAGCAGATTTTTCTTTAAAAAGATGGAGTTTAATTTTAATATAGACAAAATGATAAAAGTACTTAATTGTTTTTGGTTAGTACAGCTGTTCAGAGAAATATCTACAATTTCTAAACCATTAACACAATTAACCTAACTTTACAGCCTAGGCTTTCTTTATGTTTGCTCTGAGCCTCACCCCCTCCTTGAACAAAGAGAGTACTATTGTGATCATTAAGGGAGGCAGGATTTAGAAGAGGAATAAGAAATAAGTCAAGGTATTAGTACCAAAGTGAAAATATGAAACTAGGATTACTTCTTAAAACCTTTGTTGCCCTGTCTGCCCTGGTCTCACTGCTGGACTGCAGCTAATCGCTGCTTTCCAATATATATCTTCCACAATCAGAAAATGGTCTGCACACAATCCTTATCAGGTTACCACAGTCTTTATTGAAATATAGATAGGACTTGACAGTGGATTTTCATCAACTGAGCCTTGACACATTGTTTAGCGCCACATCATATTAATCAAAATGGCCAATTGGTTTACTTTATACCTTACCTGTTCATCTTCCACTAGACAGTTACATGCACACTCTGTCATCACAGAGCACAGACACTGTTCAGAGTTTTATGAATGAGTTTCAAAAGACTGCTTTTATAGTTTATCTTTAAACGATAACTTCAGGGGGAAAAAATGAGTATTTTAATTCTGCTGGCATACAAGGAGTTAAGTGCAAGGAGATGTGTTCCTGGATTTCTCTAATTGTTTACAATTTGCTGGATCATTGACTGCCAATCATATAGCTTTCTCTATATACCTGTTCTCTGAGAGAAGAGATACACCTCTTCTACACAGCAGCTGCTCTGCCCACTCCTCCTTTTTCCCCTGCCCACAGGGAAATGTGAATACAATCACAGAATGCAAAACGTCTTGTGATTAGACAAAGGGAGAGGTGGGGCAGACATTGCAGAATGAAGAGAAAACTACAGGACGTGGCATACACCATCTTGCACATAATTCCTTTTGTGTCAGCATATTTTAAAAACTAGTTTTGGTTTGATAAGGTCCATGGCAGCAAAATCAGTCATATGATACCCATACTATCCACTGACCTCTATAGGTCAGAGCAAGGGGGGGGGGGGCAATAAAGAGTAGTCCCACAGGACAAACCAATACAATGCCATTTTTTTGCACATTTGGAGAGTATGCATATATATTAGCCTCCAAGTACTACCTTATATACCTTCCTGTACCTACCTGCCTTTTCCCACAGCTATTAAATTGCATCAAATGCAATGCCATATAAAGACATTAATAGGGTACAGATTTTTCTGTTTTTGTAATATGTTTTGTAATACAGTATATGCATCATCACCAGTCATAGTAATGATGGATTGTAGACATCTGTGTGATAATTCAGTTCTATAACATAACCGTCAGTAATTCCTTTCACGCTTTATGTTGTATTTGGAAAGAGAAGATACTGAATTATTGATGCACTACTGCTGTACACTCACTCAAACAATCAGAAGGAGTTGGGTAGTCTCAGTTTATGGGTCAGTTTAGGCCTCGGATTAAGTGTCAGAGAGTGGAACTGGAAGTTACAAAGAAAGCAGTAGAGGAGTTTAAGCAACTGTGCTATGCTTCTACTTTTCTTGTGAGAGGAACACAATCCTTTTACACAGAAGAATCTAGCATCCAAAAACCTTTCTAACCCTAACCATTTGGGGGTTTTTTTTGGTTTTGGATAAAGTGGGAAAGGGTTAGTGCTGATGTGAAAATAGCATTTTCTTTCAAGCCAAGTCAAATCAATAATTAGCAAAGAGGGCAGTATTTTTTTATTGTTTAGGCCTATAGTTTTGGTCTTTTCCCCACCGAGGAGAACACATTGTGAAAGGTCAGCTGAGAAAGTATCACACAGACAGGTCAGAGCACACAGTTGAGCTGGAAGAATGGATAGAAGAACCCACTGTAAGGTTTGATAAGAACAGAACACATATTGGGATAGGAGGGGATGAATACACAAAGATGGAGCACAGCAAAAGCATCCATGTGACTTAAGTCTCAAATCAAAAAAGCTTAAACACAAGCATATGGAAAGTTTGAGAACTATTTGAGACTAAGATTCCTTTATGAACAGAAGTTAACTTTACCTTTTAAAGGAATGTTAAAGCGGAGTTCCAGCCTTTTTTTCTCCCCTGAAAGACTATGGTCTCCCTTTTCACAGTCTGTTTTGGCAATATATATATATATATATATATATATATATATATATATATATGTATATTTTTTTTTTCCTAAATACCTTTTATTGATAATTTATGTCTCCACTTCCGGTCCCGGCCGCCTAGGCAATTACATCATCAGGCATTCCCTAGGGCTTCTGGGATATTGGCATCATCTATTCCAGCAGTCCTAGGGAATGCCTAATACCAAAATCTTGCGTTGTTATGAGACCACTCTTAAGATGACAGCGTTCACAATATGAGGGTGCAGTAAGTAATTTTATTTTTTATAAGGAAAGCAAAGGATTACAAGTACAGGTTATCGCAACTTGCATTGCATAAGCTGCCACTCTCATGTGGGTGTCTTTAGAAAAAAATAATTAAACGGCCAGGACTCCACTTTTAGATTAATTGTGTTAAATATGTTTATCAATGTTCTACTTATCAGCAGTAAATATGCACAGTATTGACATAAACAGTATGAACATAAACAACATAAAAACAAATTGTGCGAAACTAATAATAGTCCAACTTATTCTACCTTTTCTAGTGAAGTCCATGATGTCATATTGGATGAAACGTGTTGGGTGGAGTCTGTTGTGCACACTGACATCTAACTCCTGGTGAGCAGCTGCTTCTATGTGTCTTTTTGTTGGCTTGTTTTTATAGTTAATTTTATGTCTATACACAAATGTTGGGATCTACTACACTATGAGAGTAATCAGTCCAGGCACCTGCTTCCATTTTTATGCACTCAAGTTCCTATGTTTTCATGCATAGTTGAGCGCTTAGCCTTGTTTCTATATCCTATGCACAAACATATAGGAGCTGGGGTGCAGGAAAATGGCAGCATGTGCTCTGAACTGATTATTGAAAATTTGAAATATTTGTAGCAGGAGGCAGTTTGTTCATGAACAGCTGAAGAGTGGTACAATAATGAGTGTCTGCAGGCAACCATGAAGCATGGTGGAGGTTTTGCAAGTTTAGGGCTGCATTTCTGCAATGATGAGAAATACAGGCAAATACTTATCCATCATGCCATAACTTTAGGGAGGCATGTAATTGGCCCCCAATTTTATTCTACAGCAGAACAGTGACCCCAAAGATGTAGCCAATGTCATTAAGACCTATCTTCAGTGTAAAGAACAACAAAAAGTACTGGAAGTGATGGTTCGGCACCCACAGAGCCCTGATCTCAGCATCGAGTCTGTCTGGGATTATGTAAAGAGACAGAAGGATTTGAGGCAGTCTACATTCACAGAAGATCTATGCTTAGTTCTCCCAGATGTTTGGAATAACCTACTTGCTGAGTTCCTTTAAAAAGTGCATGCAAATGTATCTAGAAAAATTTAATAATTGATGTTGTTTTGAAGACAAAGGGTGGTAACACCATATAGTGATTTGATTTGGATTTTTCTTCTGTTCTTTAATTTCCATTTTGTTAATTGATAAAAATAAACTAATAATACTTTTTTTTTTTTTTTTTTTTTTAATTTTTCATGTTAATACAAAAACCCAAAAAGGGAAAAAAATTCTCATACATATAAACATTTATAACATTTTCTATCTTTCCCTTACTAAAAACTCTTTTCTTTCCCATCCCACTACCCCCCTTCCCGCCCCTCATCCCCCTTCCTCCCCCTCTGCAGACTCTAGCCCATTCTACTCTCTTGAGGCTTATTAATTTTTTTGCTCACATCCTAGTTCATATTTTCCTATATTTCTCTTTCAATCCTGCTCTTTCCCATTTTTCCCATCTCCTGGAATAAACTCTCATCTTATCTTCCTGTATATGGTATGATCTTTCCATTCTACCTATCTGGTTTACTCTATTAATCCAGTCTTCCTCTTTCGGTACCTCAGCCTTCCGCCAAAACTTAGGTATCAACCCTTTCGCCGCATTCAAGAAGTACCAAATACCTGAGTCTTTATATCTATTTACAGATGTCTCCACATTGTGTAGGAGACACGTCGTTGGGTCTAACCCTATGTCAATTTCAGTTATTTCTTTAATCAATTTGACTATTATTTTCCAAAAAGCCTGGATTTTCGGACATTCCCACCATATGTGAAACACCGTGCCCATCTCTCCACATCCTCTCCAACACTTATTTGAGTTCTCCCCATTCATCCTGTGCTCTACACTCGGTGTAATGTGCCATCGTGTCACACACTTATAATTAACCTCAACCTCTCTCATACTAACATTATCGTGTATCAATCTAAACATCTTTCTCTGTCTGTCTTCATCAAACCCAACTCCCATATCTCTCTCCCATTTTGTGATAAAAATTAACTTTGTATTTGTGTCTAATTCTGTGAGTATTCTATACACTTTTGAAATACCGTGCTTCCCATCCCTTCGTGTCTCTAACAACCTTTCAAACATATTCCACTCCTGTTTTACTCTCAGGGGTTTCGGTAGATTTCCAATGAAACATTTCAATTGATGATATTTCCACTCATCTATTCTAATAAAAATATCTCCCTTCTTCTCTATTAAATCTTTAAGTGGTCTCAATTCCCCCTCCACCAAAACCTCTCTCAGTTGGGTATCCTCCTTTCTAAACCATCTCCCTGATATCTTATTTTTTCCCGGAGGAAAATAATCAGTATCTGTGAGAGGCATTAGTATAGAATTAAATTCCCATTTCATGTTTTTGTGTAAATTGTCCCATACCCTAAGAACATTTAAAGTGTAGGTACTTGTGCTTTCTTTGATTCCCCTGAACTGTGGTGGAACCCATATCATCTGGTTCAATCTAATGCCACTAAGATCATTTTCAATTGTTACCCAACTTTTCCCCTTATGGTTAAATGTCCAGTCATATATTCTTGCTAAAACCACTGCTTTATAGTATCTCTTGACATCTGGTAGACCCAATCCCCCTTTCTCTTTAGTCCTGCTCTAAACTAATAATACTTATATTTCTGAAAACATTCTTAATTTACAGCATTTTTTCACACCTGCCTAAAACTTTTCCACAGAACTGAATATTTTTGTATATTGTTATAGAATACATGCAAAATAGTAAATGCATATAAATGAGCTTTAGACCAATTATTCTCAAACTTTTTCTATTGCTACGTACTGAGCTCTAAGCATAGCCCTAAGTCAAATCTATTACAAACCTCATTTAACAATAAAAAATATTGAAAATATGACTGTCAATGTAATTTAGATGTATGTTTTATTTAGAAATCCTGGCAAATAATTACAAATATATCATTATTCTAACACTAGTAATAAAGTGGCTAAAGTATGGGAGTATTAAGGGAAAATTGTACACAGAGATAGACTGTTCTAGGAAAGGGATTTGGGACTAGAATTATGGTAACGTACAAAACCAGATACAGCAAGGTCAGGACATACAAATAAACTTTTAGCTAGTGAGCTGAGAACAATTGATGTGTCAAAGCAGTTTAGTGGCAAAGTGATGTTAGTATTGACCACATAGGCAGCAAACTTGGTTAAATCTTCACAGTAAACCCAGGACCCCAGTTACCTAAGGTTTACAGCCAGCCCAGCCATCTAGTCCTTTTCATCCATCATTCTTCTTGCACAAAGCAAAAAACGCACAACAGCCATGTGCTCATTCTTCCATGACATAATTCCTATACAACTATTTTTTCTTTTGCCTAACTCCTCCAGCACTGCCTTGGATAGTTTTTAAGTACACTTATGAGAAGACAGTGGTCCTGATGTCAATACTATCAGTAGTGGTCTTGTGTCCTACGGACACAGCTGATCACATGATGAGGTAAAAGGCCAATCACAGCGGCCTTTTATTGTGTGATCAGCTGTGAGTAAATACAGTTTCCTCATGTTGTCACAGCACGAGGAAGTACTGCCGATAACCAGCAAATATCATAGAGGACATCTGCACTGATAATCAGGGCACTGATGATCAGTGCCCTGATAATCAATGCCCAGTAGTGCCACCCACCAATGCCCATCAGTGCCACCCATCAGTGCTGCTCAGCAGTACCACTCAGCAGTTGCACCCATCAGGGCCCAGCAGTGCCACCCATCAATGCCTAGCAGTGCCACCCAGCAGTGCCATCAGTCAGTGCTGTCAGTCAGTGCTGTCAGTCACTGCCGCCAGTCAGCGCCATCCATCAGTGTCGCCCATCAGTGCCGCCTATCAGTGCCCATCATTGCTGCTTATCAGTGCAGCTTCATCAGTGCCTCCTCATCAATGCCCACCAGTGCCGCCTCATCAGTACCACCTCATCAATGCAGCTGATCAGTGCCCATCAGTCCTGCCTATCCGTGCCACCTCATCAGTGCCCATCAGTGCTGTCTATTAGTGTAGCCTCATCAACGCACATCAGTGAAGGAAAAAAATGACCTGTTTGCAAAATTTTATAATAGAAACATTTTTTTTTCTCTTTTTTTGTTTATAGTGTAAAAAATAAAACACCCAGTGTGATTAAATTCCACCAAAAGAAAGCTCTATTTGTGTGAAAGAAATGATAAAAATTTCATATGGGTACAGTGTTTCATGACTGCACAATTGTTATTCAAAATGTGGGAGCGCTGAAAGCTGAAAATTGGCCTGGACATGAAGGGGGTGAGAGTGCCCGGTAGGCAAGTGGTTAAGACAAGGAACTACAATATCCTATCTATGACCATTCTATTAGACTTAACCGCCTGCTATGGTACAAATTCATGGTGCTGTTGTGGCTGTTTTTCAGATATCTTATGCTCTTACTATTAAATACCATTAAAACCCTAAATCATAGTGATCTTTATGATTAAGCCCACAAGGGTGAGACTCTTCTGAGATGGGAGGTCCAGAAGCATGGACTGCAGTATGCTTGTCCTTGTGTCTGTACCTTGAATAAAGTTTTTAGTGGCCAGTGACATCATAAGCATGATGTGGCTTTATTGCATGTTTGGATGGTAATATGTGGAATGAGGATGGGTCTGTGCCTGGACCTATACAGTGCCCAGATGGGGGGTGACTTATGGAATGGTGAAACTTGTTTATTTTACTGGAAGTGTTTTGTTATATATATTAAAAATTGAAAAAAATACCTGAAGTTTACAGCTGTCTTGTGCACAATTCCTGTGTTATCTTAAAGAGTTCAGTTAGCTCTCCTAGTCATTATCTTAGGACTACAGAATGATTAGTCTTTGTGTTGTGGAGAGTAAAATAGTGGGTGGGCTTCAGTAGTTTAGCAAAAGACAACTGGAAACCACAACAGGATGTGGGAGCTGAGTACTTTTCTAGCAGATCAGCAAGTATTTTCTGTACTTGCAGGGTTTTTTAATGGGATAAGTATTTAGAAATGTACATACGTTGCAGGAATTCATTGTATGTGTTTATTTTCTATTTATTTATTTTGCTATAGCATACTTTTTAAGGAATAGTTAGCAGAATATGGTCCTGCTTTCCCACATTATAACTGTATTCTTAAGGTACGTATTCCTGTCTGGAAATCCCCCATTCTATTTGGCTATAAGTCAATGAAGCAAAGGGTTGCAATGTGCAGATAATGATATTTTGAACTGTATGTATACCAAAATGATAAGATATACTTAGAAAGACAATAGCAACAGACAAAACTAACAGATGACCCCTGTATGGTACAATGCACAGTCTCTCTGTGTATATGTCTTTTCCAGATGTGATATAATATGTACTGACTAACTACAAATGGAGATGTTATTTAAGGGTGAATTGTTTCTCCTCAAGTAATCACAAACACAGCAGAGAAAATCATGATGAGTTGCAAACAAGAATGTCATCTTTTCAAATGTGTGAAAAGTGAAAAAAAAACCCTTGAAAAATTCACTAACCAGGGGACTAAATAGATGAGCACAGTTGTACGCTCTCTTGAGTAATCTTCTCCTTTCACTTATGTTATATAATTCAGCATATTGTGCTGTATTCCTGTCTCATGTAGACTGCATGGATAGGGGAACTCACAGAAAGAATAAGTGTGGCAGTAATAAAACGTGTTAGAGATTGCAGGTATCATTGTTTCTGTCCAAATGTAGGGCACAGTGAAATAAAAACTTCCCAGATCTGTGACTGTTGATCCATTCAGTTTAATACAGTCTTTAGTTCCTGGCATTGGGAACAGGATTAATATTTGGGATGGGACAAGAATGTATAGGGGCCTAGGAAAGATTAACAATAATTAATTACATTTTTATCATTATTATATTACTTTTAACCACTTGCCCTCCAGAGGATTTACCCCCCTTCCTGACCAGGCCTTTTTTTGCTATTCTCCACTACGCTATTCCAACTGATAATTGGGAGTTCATGCAATGTTGTACCCAAACAAAATTTACGTCCTTTTTTTCACACAAATAGAGATTTCTTTTGGTGGTATTTTGGCACCTGTGAGCTTTTTATTTTTTGCTCTATAAACAAAGAAAGACTGAAAAATATGAAAAAATTATATTTTTTACTTTCGACTATAAAAATATATAGTAAACTCAAAGGTAGTCATAAATCAAGCCAAAATATATTCTGCTACATGTCTTTGGTAAAAAAAAATCACAATAAGTGTCTATTGATTGCTTTGTGTGAAAGTTATAGCGTCTACAAACTATGGTATAGATACTGCAATTTACACCATTTTTTGCTATACAGCACTGCACGAGTTTAACTGACAATTGATCGGTCATGCAATACTGTACATAAATTAAATTTATGCCCTTTTTCACACAAATAGAGCTTTCTTTTGCTGGTATTTTATCACCTCTGGGTTTTTTTCTTTTTTTGCGCTATAAACAAACATAATATTTCCTCTTTCTGTTATAAAAAATATCCTATAAACTCAAATTTCGCAATAAATTTAGGCCAAAATGTATTTTGCTACATGTCTTTGATAAAAATCCCAATAATTGCATATTAATTGGTTTGTGTGAAAATAATAGTGTCTACAAATGGCGGTATAGATATTGGAATTTACACCACTTTTTTGCTATATGACGCTGTGCTAGTTTAACTGATAATTGAGCAGTCATGCAATACTGTACATAAATAAATTTTGTGTCCTTTTTTCATACAAATAGAGCTTTCTTTTGTTGGTATTAATCAACACTGGGGTTTTTTTTTGCGCTATAAACAAAAAAAGATTAAAAATTCTGAAAAATAAAAATATTTTCTCATTTCTGTCATAAAAAATATCCAATAAACTCAAATTTCATCATAAATTTAGGCCAAAATGTGTTTTGGTATATGTCTTTGGTAAAACAAAATCCCAATAGGTGTATATTAATTGATTTGTGTAAAAGTTATAGCGTCTACAAATGGTGGTATAGATATTGGAATTTACAAAATGTTTTGCTGTGCGGCGCTGAGCTAGTTTAACTGACAATTGCAGGCTAATGCAATACTGTACATAAATTAAATTTATGTCCTTCTTTCACATGAATAGAGATTTCTTTTGGTGGTATTTGATCACCTCTGGTTTTGTGAGGGTGTTCTTGCGCTATAAAGGAAGAAAAGACTGACAATTTAGACGAAAAAAGATATTTTTCATTTCTGTCATAAAAAATATACAAAAAACTGAAATTTCATCATAAATTTAGGCCAAAATGTATTTTGCTACATGTATTTGGGAAAAAATCCCAATAACTGTATATTAATTGGTTTGATACTGGAATTTACACAGCTTTTATTTTATGACTACCTATCACATTTCTTGAGGTGCTAAAATACCAGAGCAGTACAAACACCCCCAAATGACCCCTTTCAGAAAGCAGACACCCTAAGCTATCTGCTGAGAGTCATGTTGAGTCCCTGGGAGATTTATTTTTTTCCACATGTTTTTGGAAAATTACAAAATGTTTTTTTTTCACTCAAAGTTGTCACTTAAATGATATATTGCTCACACATGCCATGGGTATATGTGGAATTACAACCAAAATACATTCTGCTACTTATAGCGAGTATGGGGATACCACATGTGTGAGACTTTTTGGGAGCCTAGCCACATACAGGGGCCCGAAATCCATTAAATCCATGGAAGGCAATGGGGGGGGGGGGCATCTTCTCCCACTGCTTGTAAAAGCAATCCTATAGCTAATTATCCTGTAGATAATTAGCCATTAGGATTGTTTTACATAAAAGCTGATCGCCAGCTGAAAAAACGATACCAGGATGATGCCTTCAGCTGCAGGCATCATCCTGGTATACCACTCAGCGTCCAGTGATGTACAAGTACATTGTTGGTCCTTGTTGGGTATATATGCTATGTTCTTTTTTTTATGTAGCCTGTGGGCTGAATGGAAAAAAAGAAATCTTAGCCAGAAAAAGTGTGTGGTATTCCCACCATTAGAATATACTGCTCTGCATCCACCCACTTCTAATGGTGGGCACACATGATAAAAGATTCCACTATTCACATTGATTGATGTGGATGAAAAAATCTCTGCCCAAAAAAATGTTTTTAAATATATGCCGTAGCATAGGGGCTATCCACCCACTGGCCATCCCAGTCCCCCAGCTTGGGCATATATGCTATTTTTTAACTGCGGATGAAAAGTCTTATCCAACAGCGCTGCACACACTTATGTATATCCTGAGAGCAAGACCCCTGTTACTGTCAGAATAAATAGATCGGTGTTGCAGTTGAATGGCATTCCTGCAAACTAAACAGCAATGGCTAACAATAAAACAGTAACTCAATAAAACAACTTTTTTATTGGAACATGTGCCAAAAAAATATATATGCTGAAGCATAGGGGCCATCCACCCCCTGGCTACTCCAGGCCCCCATGCTTGGACATATATGCTCTTTTTTAACTTCAGATGAAAAATCTCAGCCAACAGCACTGCACACACTTACTTATATATATTCTGAGAGCAAGACCCTGTTGCTGTCAGAATAAACAGATTGGTGCTGGAGCTGAATGGCATTCCTGCAAAGAAAACAGCAATGGCTAACAATAAAACAGTGACAATAAAAGAGTAGCTCAATAAAACAGCATTCCTGCAAAAAAAAAAACAACAATGGTTAACAATAAAACAGTAGCAGTAAAACCATAACAGTATAAAAGTAACTCGACAACAAAAAAACTGCAACTGTTTTTGGTTTTGAAAATGTAATTTTTTTTTGTACTTTTACTTTTTATTTTTTTATGGAATTTTTTACTTTTTTTTTTCAACCTTAAAGCGGAGTTCCACTCAAACCTATCAAAAAATAAAAGTCAGCAGCCTCAAAAACTGTAGCTGCTGACTTTTAAAAAACAGCCATTTATCTGTCCCTCGGTCCCGTGGTATGTCCCAGGCAGCCCGTTTCACCGGCCGTTCTGGAATCCAGGAAGCTGGCATTTCAGTGTGGGCACCTGGCTGTGATAGCTTGCAGCTTCACAGCTGGGTACCCACTGCGCATGCGTGCGTGAGTAGCGCTGCGCTTCCTGAATGGTCCTGTAGTCTTCTGGGACCTGTCACGTGTTCCAAAAGACTACAGGGAGGGAGGGAGGGAGGACACCTTCCGTAGGCGATCGGATTGGAAGTGAGAGCGGGTACCTGTCAAATTCAGGTACCCACTCCCCAAAGGTGCCAATCCTTAATGGGGATCGGGGGAGCAGTCCTTAAAGCCGAACTTCCCCTTTTGGGTGTAGCTCTGCTTTAACTTTAAACAGATTTTAGGGTCTCTCAAAATGCAATAGCCAGTTTCCTGACTACCTAATATCTTTTGAGACCCTGTGCAAATATGTGCCCTGAACTGTGCCATGCTGTACCCTATACTAATAGTCCACTAGTGTGTGTGGGTAGCAACGGAATCAATCCATGAGACAGAGACCAGGTTGGCCAGGACAGGAGGGACAAAAAAGCGGACGTCAAACCTAATTTCGTGTCTGCTACAGACATGACATATTTTTTGGGGTGTCCTTTGGGTTGGGGTACCAGGAATGACATTGGGAAAATACCTCTCATGAGTCAGCTAACTGCATCTGGGTTGGGGGTTTGGGCCATAGCACCTTCTGGATATAAAAGGTCCCGTGATGATCTCTTCCTGGAATATTAGGAAGGATCCACTACGTCCAGTTGCTTTGTAAAGCACAAAAGCATTATATAGAGCCAATTGAAATAAATAAACAGACACTTTTTAGTACCA